TTAATTAACAGCACTTCTCCATGTGAGAGAGACTACGGTGAGATTTCAAGTTCAGCTTGGAACATTGGATGGGTGTATATATGCACACCATGAAATGCAAATAGCAAAAATGTAATGGAATGGAACAATGAAAATATTCTTCCAATCTTGTCCATCAATAAAGTCTTCAAAGAACAAGCTTAACTCCTACCAGGGAATGAGCGAAGTATTTTTCTTTTTCAAAGCGAGATGTTATAGAAACTAGGATTTTACTTTTTTTTTTATATATAAAAAAATACAAGTGATAGTACTAAAAGGGGGAGGGGAATTGCTCACACCACACCATCAAGGTGCCATGAGGTTCGAACCTGAGACCATTTATCTGCAAGTACAAATCATTTTTGATGTAGAACAAATAGCTGAATGGATTGAAGAAGAATTGGAGCGAAGAAGGGAAAAGGGACGCAGCGGGAATTTCCATATTTGGCGTCCGAATTCCGATTGGGTTGCATAATACCTTCTCGAAAAGGGAACGATGTCACGAACCCAACTCACTATTTTACTATGACCTATGGTGGATTTTGGGCTTCTTAGGTCATTTGGCCTTCCAAAAGTGCATTTAAAGATTGTATTCAATTGACAAATTTTTCGTTTCTTTTTTGGTAAGTTTTCAATAACTCCTCAGGGCAGTCCAATGGGTGAGAACGTTGTATTTAGTCAGCCGTTATGCTTGGTTGAACTCATCTCAACTTTTATCAAATAATTTAAAGAGAATTCTCTCTAATTTCCTGGTGGAATCCAGATTACTGTTCTTTAGGGTTTTCCCTTGAAATCCTATTTGCTTGTGCTGCGTCAAGTGGTATCAGAGCGGGTCTCTCTCGTCTCGGTATTATTGGCTTATCATGGGTGATCATGAAATTGCTGTTCCAATTACTCGAGTGGATTTGGACGCTCAAAACGTATGAATCGACAATTTAACCAATCAACTTGTGGAGATGCGTGAGTTGTTGTTACAAGCTATTGGTGGCAACAATAGAAGAGAAGATAGAGATAACAATCAACGAGACAACAACCAAGGAGGCAATGGTGGAAGGAATAATAGGAGACAACGTGTTCCAGAGAGCGAGTCGAAGTCTGAAGAAGAACTTGAGGAACCACCACCGGTAACAATCCACATCATTGTAATCACAACAATTTTGGTGATTATTGGATTAAAGCCGAAATCCCTAATTTTTAAGGAAACCTGAAAATTGAAGATTTCTTGGATGGGTTGGTAGAAGTGTAGAGGTTCTTTGAAATTATGGAGGTTCCAGATAACAAAATGGTGAAGATGGTCGCTTTCCGTCTAAAAGTCATAGCGGCTGTATGGTGGGATCAGTTGCAGAAAGTGTTGCTACTTTTCCCAGTGACAAGGGAAAAACGCAGCAGCAAAACTTTGGAGGATCATCAAAATCGTCGAACTTCCAAAGTAAAAGCGGCAATGAAGGTAGCAGTCGGAGTTCCAATAAAGTGTAGACTCGAAACCAATCCTAGAAGGAGAACCCGTATGCTAAGCCTATGACGGATATTTGTTACCGATGCCAAAAACCAGCGCATCGTTCCAACATTTGTCCCGAGCGGAGGCAAGCTAATTTTATAGAAGATGTTGGTGATGATGAAGAAAATGACGAAGTTGTAGACGATGATTATGCAGGGGCTGAGTTTGCAATTGAGGAGGGAATGGAAAGGCTTACTTTGTTTTTACAGCGAGTTCTTTTGGCACCAAAAGAGGAAGGGCAACGACAGTATCGAGAATTTTGTGTCAAAAAAATTGTTGGAGCGTTTGCAGCTACCAATAGAGCCACATATGTCACATCTAGGATCGCTCCGCCGTAGCACGATATTGTCTGCTTTGAGCCCCCCCTCTCTGCCCTCAAGGTTTGTTTATGGGAATTCACGAGCAACTTCCTAGTGGGTCACTCATCCTAGGATTGCTCTAGCCCCAACTCGCTTAACTTCGGAGTTCTCATGACTCCGAAGCCAGTGAGCTCCCAAAAGGCCTCATGCTAGATGGAGGTGGGCATGTACATATAAGGCACATCATCCCCTCTCCATTGGTCGATGTGGGATCTTACAATCCACCCCCTTTAGGGGCTCGACGTCCTCGTCGGCACACTCGCACCACAAGACATAATGGCTCTGATACCAAATTATCACATCCAGGATCGCTCCACTGTAGCACGATATTGTCTGCTTTGGGCCACTCTCTTTGCCCTCACGGTTTTGTTTCTAGGAACTCACAAGCAACTTCCCAGTGGGTCACCTATCCTAGGATTGCTCTAGCCCCAACTCGCTTAACTTCGGAGTTCCCATGATTCCGAAGCCAGTGAGCTTCCAAAAGGCCTTTTGCTAGATGGAGGTGGGCATGTACATATAAGGCACATCACCCCTTCTCCGTTGGTCGATGTGGGATCTTACAACATATCAGCCCTTATTCACTAGGTTGGGTTAAAAAAGGACATTCCGTTCGTGTTGCAAAGACTTGTCGTGTGCCACTCTCCATTGGGAAGCATTACAGAGATGATGTCGTATGTGATGTTATTGATATGGATGCATGTCATATCTTGTTGGGGCAACCTTGGCAATTTGATGTGGATGCAATCTTTAAGGGTCGAGATAATGTGATCTTGTTTTCCTAGAACAACCACAAGAATGTGATGGCTACTACAGTGCCCTCAAAAAAATCAGTTGAGCCAAAAACTAAGAGTTCTAGTTTTCTAACTCTGATAAGCAGCGAGCAAGAGTTAAATAAGGCAATAAAAGAAGCATATTATTTTTGTCCCATGGTGTTGAAGGGGCTGTTGAAGGCCACCAAAGAAGAAAATGTAATTCCTCCTGAAGTGCAATAGATTTTGTCAAAATTTCAGGAACTAATTTCTGACAAGTTGCCAATGAAAGATATACAACACCACATTGATTTGGTACCTGGGGCTAGTCTACCAAATCTGCCACATTATCGCATGATCCCTAAGGAGAACGACATCCTAAGAGAGCAGATTGAAGAGTTGTTACAAAAGGGTTTTATCAGGGAAAGCTTGAGTCCCTGTGCGGTTCCAGTCCTTATTGTTCCAAAGAAAGATCAGTCTTGGCGTATGTGTGTTGATAATCGAGCAATCAACAAGATTACAATAAAATAAAGATTTCCCATCCCGCGATTGGAAGATATGTTGGATGTGCTCGAAAGCTCTAAGGTGTTTTCCAAAATAGATTTGCGCAGCGGATACCACCAGATTCGCATCAGGCCAGGTGACGAGTGGAAAACATCATTTAAGAGTAAGGAAGGATTATACGAATGGCTGGTGATGCCGTTCGGATTGTCAAATGCGCCTCGCACCTTCATGAGACTTATGAATCAGGTTCTTTGACCATTTATTGGCTCTTTTTTCGTGGTCTATTTTGATGATATTTTAATTTATAGCACCACAAAAGAAGAGCATTTCGTGCATTTGAGACAAGTCTTAGGAGTTTTGAAAGAAAATAAGCTATATGTGAATCTGAAAAAATGTACTTTTTGCACAAATAAGCTACTGTTTTTGGGTTTTGTGGTTGGTGAGAATGGTATCCAGGTGGATGACGAGAAGATCAAAACAATTCTTGACTGGCCAACTCCAAAAACAGTCTATGAAGTTCGAAGTTTCCATGGGTTGGCCACTTTTTACAGGAGGTTTGTGCGGCATTTCAGTTCCATTGTCACACCTATTACTGAAAGTTTGAAGAAAGGCAGGTTCAATTGGGGAGAAGAGCAAGAAAAAAGTTTTGCTCTTGTAAAAGAAAAACTTTGCACCACTCCGATTCTAGCTCTTCCAAATTTTGAGAAGGTGTTCGAAGTTGAATGTGATGCCAGTGGCGTGGGAGTGGGAGTCGTGCTCTCCAAAGATAAGAGACCAATTGCTTTCTTTTCTAAAAAGTTGAGCGAAGCACGTCAAAAGTGAAGTACTTATGACCAAGAATTTTATGTAGTTGTTCAGGCTTTGAAACAATGGGAGCACTATCTTATTCATAAGGAATTTTTTTTGTTTATAGATCATCAAGCTTTGAAGTATATTAACAGCTAGAAACATATTGATAAAATGCATGCCAAATGGGTGTCTTTTTTGCAGAAATTTTCATTCGTTATCAAGCACACTTCTAGCACCTCAAATCCTGTGGCTAACGAGCTGAGTAGAAGGGCTTATTTATTAGTTACTCTTACTCAAGAAATTTTGGGGTTCGAGTGTTTGAGGGATTTATATGAAGATGATGATGATTTCAAGGAAATATGGGCTAAATGTGCTAATCATGAGCCAATGGCAAATTTCTTTCTTAATGAAGGGTATTTGTTCAAGGGCAACCAGTTACGCATTCTTGTTTCCTTCTTAAGGGAGAAGCTCATTTGGGATTTGCACAGAGGAGGGTTGAGTGGCCACTTAGGCCGTGATAAAACAATAGCAGGATTGGAAGAGAGATTTTATTGGCCACAGTTGAAGCGTGATGTTGGAACAATTGTGCCAAATGTTATATTTGTCAGGTTTCGAAGGGACAGGTACAAAACATTGGATTATACATGCCTTTACCAGTTGCTATGGATTTTATCCTTGGTTTGCCTCAAACTCAGAGAGGTGTGGATTCAGTTTTTGTGGTGGTAGATCGGTTCTAAAAAGTGGCGCATTTCATACCCTGCAAGAGGACTAGTGATGCATCCAATATAGTCAAGCTGTTTTTTAGGGAGGTTGTTCGCTTGCATGGAGTACCTGCATCTATAACTTCTGATCGTGATACAAAAATTTTGAGCCTTTTTTGGATCACTTTGTGGAGAATGTTTGGGACTACTTTGAACCGTAGTAGCACTGCCCATCCTCAAACTGACGGCTAGACTGAGGTTACAAACCCAACATTGGGAAATATGGTGCTAAGCATTTGCGGAGAGAAGCCGAAACAGTGGGATTATGCACTGCCACATGTGAAGTTTGCATATAACAGTGCAGCTCGTAGTGCAACCGGAAAGTCACCGTTTTCCATTGTTTGTACTGTTGTGCCTAATCATGTTGTAGATTTGGTGAAGTTGCCTAGAGGCTAGAAAATTAGTGTTGCAGCAGGAAATTTGACTGAAGAAGTGGTGGCTGTTCATGATGAAGTGAAGCAAAAACTCGAGCAAACTAATGCTAAGTACAAAGCCGCTGCAGACAAGCATAGGCGAATTAAGGTGTTTCAAGAAGGCGATTCTGTGATGGTGTTTCTGAGGAAGGAGAGGTTCCCTGTTGGTACATATAGCAAGCTGAAGCCTAAGAAATATGGTCCTTACAAGGTGCTGAAAAGAATAAATGACAATGCCTATGTTATTGAATTACCAGATTCCATGGGAATTTTCAATACTTTTAATGTTGCTGATTTGTATGAGTTTCATGAAGATGAAACCCTTTATCTTGAACATAACTCGGGGTCGAGTTCTTCGGAGGTGGAGGGGACTGATGTAGAACAAATGGTTGAATGGATTGAAGAAAAATTGGAGCAAAGAAGGGGAAAATGACGCAGTGGGAATTTACAGATTTGGCATCCGAGCTCCGATTTGGTCGCATAATACCTTCTCGAAAAGGGAACAACGTCACGAGTCCAACTCACTGTGTTCTTGTGACTTATGGTGGATTTTGGGCTTCTGAGGTCGTTTGGCCTTCCAAAAGTGCATTTAAAGATTGTATTCAATTTTTCAAACTTTCCATTTCTTGTCTGTTAAGTTTTCAATAACTCCCCAGGGCAGTTCAATGGGTGAGAACGTTGTATTTAGTCAGCCATCATGCTTGGTTAAACTCATCTCAACATTTATCAAATAATTCAAAGAGAATTTCTCTCTAATTTCTTGGTGGAATCCAAATTACTATTCTTTAGAGTTTTCGCTTGAAATCCTATTTGCTTGTGCTGCGTCAATTTTCCATTGAGCTAGAATCCGTTGCCAAGATTTGTTTTAGGCATAATATATATTTTTTCTTTTTTCTTTTTGCTGGAGAAAAAAGACAAACGAATGCAAACAAAACGACGTCGTACTGACAGCCGTTGCTCGTTCGTAAAAGTGAAATTTAAGCGAAGTTAACGTTTCATTTGACACGTCCAAGCAACAGTATTTGTTACGTTTGTAGAAGGAAACTGAGAAGACTGCACGCACATTTCAGGGTGGAGAGGACCTGCCTAGAACATGAGATCAGCGAGATGCAACACAGACTGATCCCATTAACTCAAACCCCCAAAAAAAAAAAAAAAAAAAAAACT